CGGGCAAGGGCATTGGGCGTCTAACAAAAACTTTAAAAAAAAAAAAAAAAAAAAAGAAAGAAAGAAAGAAAAAAAGAAGTAGGACTGTTTCATTTCCATCTTGTAATCTGAGTATGTATTTAAAAGATATTTATGGAACAGAGGAATAACAACAAAAAATAATCATAATTAATGATTCATTTTGGGTCTCTAGACATGGTCTTCTATTTAGAACTCTGGAAGTTGTCTCATATGGCAAAAATAACTACCAAAAATTCCAAAAATGTTCTGTTTATAAACTGTAATTCTACCCTAAACAAAAAAGTCAGAGATTAAAAATAGAGACTCCAAGAGATGTTTTGTTACACCAATATGTAAGGAGGGAGCTGCCTTTCTTCATAAATCCAGATAAAAACGACCTGACAGAAATGTATTCATGTCTTATTTATAATTACAGAATAGATGAGATGCAGGCTGCTACTTACTATTATTTGATAAATCTGACTTATCTTTAAGATCTAATTAATCAGGTTTCAATGGAAGGAAGAAAAAAGTTGGTGCTTTTCATCTGTAAGGAATACACTGAGGTCATAAAAGAACAAAATGCCAATGTCAAAACCTTTCCCTCTTTCAACCAGAATTTAAAACTTCTGCCTATAAAATGTCCCCTCCTGCTGGAGAACATCCAACAAATACAAGCTGCTATCGTCTCGGTGAAGCACATGTCCTTTATCGGTCCTTGTGCAAGTTGGAAATAAAGTGATTAGAGATAGTCAGGAAGAAGAAAAACACACAATTATTATGCTGCTACATTAAATTGAAAATCTCCTCGAGTTATTGGACCAAATCAGTAACTAAATGTCATAGGCAGTGACAAGAGAGATCTCATTTTCTGGCTGTCATATTTTAGGGGGTTGAGAGCTGTGGTTGTCAGTAAATTGGCAACCAAGAAAAATGATCTGTCTTTGCAGTAAATGACTGGGAGGGGCAAGGCAACAGGTTCTAGAGAGAGAGAAAGAAAATCATTGACTAAGTCAATGCGAGCAATCCCCAGTAAGTGAGAGAGTCAAATCCATTCATTGAATACTTATTGCTTTTGGACTCCTTTGAATGTCTAGAAGAAAGTACTTTATCTTAAAAAATAAACATATTTAAAATCAGGAACTTAAGAAGGTTTCTATGTTTTGCCTGGGCTTGTTCTGAGTCCCTGGCATTTGACAATTTATAGTATGATTGTCTTTGAGCAACTGACTGCACATCATCTTTGTACTCATGTGGCTCTGGTCACAATAGGATTCGCTCCTTTCCAGAAACCTGTTCTGGAGTTAGGCAGCCAGAATGTTGTTTTAGTAAAATATCATAAACTGGCCAAATATCATGTACACTTATATTTTTAAATTCACTAATTTCCAGGATTTGTGATTCATTCTTCTGGCTCATGCACAGAAGGAGCACACAAGCTTCAGTCACTTAGTATCTACTTAAGTCAAATAATTCATTTTTAGGCTGAGCTTCCATTGTGTCCGCATCAGTAATACTGGAAATCATCCCTGTGCTAACTGGGCAAAGGTCTCCCTTGAGGAGGTCAGGTATGGTTGACAATGGCTGCCAAGTGAGATGACTTGGACCAAGACAGTAGGGGCTGCTCCTGGTTTGCACAGTGCTGGCATGTATTTTGTTTCATAATTGTTAAAACAGATTATAATTGCCAATGTTTATAAATAAGGTATGTTTACAGAAATAGAGATTCTAGACTCTTTTGAAATGTGTGGCGATAATCAGCTGAAGCTCACTGATAGCTGCTCTCCCGACTGGGTGTGCAGTTTGCAGGTCTCCATAGTCCTGACCGCTCCCTAGTGTCTCTTGCAAATACTTGATTTCCTCCTTTTCTCATTTCTCATTTGCTCATTTACCCAAAGAGTGAAGAGTCCTTAGGGACAAAAGGACTTGTTCAACTGGAGCCTTCTTTTCCCTTTTAGGCCACATATCAGACACCAGGATTCTGGATTTTGTAATCATAAAGACCTTACTTGCTGTCTGGACCTCATCTCAGGCTTGTCCCTCTGAAAGCTGACAGCACTACAGATGGGCATATCTTTCTTGAAGCATGGTTGAAGCTATGAGGTATGTGTTTAGACAGAGCTTGGACATGTCGGCTAGGGTGTCCAACAAACATGTGCACCAGGTACCTCATGGGCAGCCCACAGGCTGTGGCCCTGCAAATGTTAGGGGCTGGCCGACCTACAGGTATCTGAGTGTGTGCACTTACGGTTTATACTCATCAAGGCAGACGAATTATTTAAATGGATGACATGCTTGTAGAAAAAGAATAAGTAGAACCAGAACACATGGTTAACTGTGTAGCTTGAGTCCTGAAACTGGTAGGTATGTGTGTGTTTGTCCAAAATCCCAAAAGGAAGGAGAAATGGAAGAGAAAGGATTGTGGCATGACCATCCCCCATGGGGGATGCTTTCTCACCTTCCCTTTCTCTCCAGTGAGTGTACACGCCCTTTGGAAAAAAGTGAAACTTTTCACACACATACCAGGAAGTTCTTTCTTGGCATTAGGCCAAGAATTAGGCTTTCCCTTAGCTGTAAGACTAACTCTAATGTGTTTTGATTAAGTCATGAAACTTTCTTTCACATCAATTTTAGATTTACAGTTTAGGAAATGCCTCAGAGACATCCCCCTCTCAGATGAATGGTACACATTCATAATAATGTGTTGTTAGGTTGAATGTCTCAGAGCTGAGCTACTGAGCTATGAATATTTATACTTTTACTATCATAATTAAAAGTCACTCTTCTAATGTCCTTGGCAAAAAAACAACAACTAAATACTAGAGTTTGTGAAATGGATAAGACATCTCTCAAAACTAAATCAAAGTATAAGATCTGTGCAATAATTTTTGGTAAATAAATCTGGGGATGCTACTACATAGTTTCTTCCTTACTCACTAATTTCTTACTTCTAAGGATCTAGTTTCCCATTGCCTAATTGGAAATTTTGTCTTTCTATTTTTTTTTTTTAATTGCCGGAGGGTGCTATGCTTGGCAGAGAGAGAGATGGGGGAGGGAAGCACCCTAAAGTAAAATATGGTAATGCCACAAATCACATCTCTTCTATTTTTTCATCTTATCCAGATTTTGAGTGTGCACACACATGTGCCTAGCATGTTTTTCAAGCTGCCGGGGCTGGGAGTCTAACTGCAGTCAGCCATGTGAGATCCATCTCCTTTAACCAGTAGGCTATGGGGCTAGGCTGCCTTTCTATTTTTAGTGGGTACTTTAAAATGTTTTTTACTTTATAATTTAACAGTTTGGGAAGGTTTTTGTGCACAGTAATTTTGCCCCATGTACTAACCTGTCTGTAACTCTCATAATGAACATGTTCTTTCTCTTACGCATCAGTTAGGAAGCCAGTCTGTCTTCTGGAGTGGGGCAGGGTATTCAAGTGAATCAAGGATAAAGGCAAGGATAAGGATAAAGGCAAGGATAAAGCTAAAGGGTGTAACCCCTATGACCTCCAGGTATTTTCCATAATACTGCTTCTTTGTGCAAGAAGGTGCCCCCTTTCCTACCCCTTTCTCTCTCCAAGTTGATTACTCACTTTCAGCTGAGAACCATTTCATCCCAAGCCAGGCTTGCACTTCTCACTGCCTTTGCTTAGGAAAGCATAGGAATAATAACAATGATAACAACAGTCCTTGAAAAGGCAGCTCTACTGTCATATCCCCGTTTGTAGTTGTCCCTTCTCACTTTGGAGAAATAGTAGCTCTGAAGAAAGGCCTTCTTCCCATGCCTTTTAAATCTTTTCCATTCTGTTTCCAGACATTTATTTTGCTATCAAAGTATCCTTTGCAGAACTTTATCATTTTCAATACTCATGAAGCTTTCAAGGAAGAGTGGGCTGAATTAACTTGGAAATTCTTCTGGTGTGAACGAGCAGTCTGTAGCAGAACATTTTCAAAAATTAAATGCACTTGAAATGCACTCGAAAGCCTAACTGAGTAAAGTTGGTAAGAACTGCGGCAAAGAGCTTCTTTCCGGAAGTCACATGCTCTACAAATTGCAAGGATACATTTGTGCAGCATTTGGCATACACTCCAACAGCTTCTCCTGATTAGAACAAAATTTAATTTGCAGTAATCAGCTGGTGGCAAGGGGAGCATGAAATTATGTTGGTGCATTGGTTTTGCACTTTGCAGTATATTTCCTTGTAAATCAGGTATCTTTTTAATTTATCTTTAGGTTACAGAACATATAGCACAGTAAACTTTTTATTAAAAACCACTCTTCAGGGAGGGAGACAGTTAAATGTTAACCAAGCAGGCAATGTCTTCCTCCTGGCATCTTGCCCAAGGATAAGGCATAATTCAAGATGTTTTACTCCTTTGGGTCAAGTGGTATGCCATGAATTTCTGAAGATGAATGGCACCTCTTAGCAAAACCTCCACGCAATACAAGATATATAGCTGTCTCCATTGGTGAGGGTTGACAATTCTTCTGACTTGCCCTTTTAAATGATTGCCCTTGCTCAAAGTCTGGTTTCTAAGGGACTCAAAAAGAAAAGGATTTCTAATCCAATTAACAAACCTTATCCTCTCTAATCATCCAAGCCTGTGATTAGTGTTGTTCCCCCTTTTTTGTATTCAAATATTGTAGTAGGGCATATAGAAGACTCCTTATGTTAAGGGGTGACATTTGCTCGAGGTTTACTCAGTGTCTGTGAATTCACTAGGGTGGGGTGGTGGTCAAATGGGATGGTGAAGGGGGTCTTTCAGTGGCATAAGAAATAAACACCGGCCCTGGTTAGAAGACTCCATTTCTGCATTGTCACTGACTCTTGGTAGGCTACTGGGCAGGTGACCAAGCCTCTGAGTCTCAGTTTCTTCACCTGTACCAAGAGGGAGTTCGTGTCATTCACTTTCTTCCTAATTCTAGTATTGATGATTCTACACGAAGGGTGGTCAAGGGACTGAGCAGAGAGGTCCAGAAGTGGTGGGGACAGAAGGCGACAGCAGAATATCAATGGAACTATTGTTCCTGTGAATCACAAAACAAGTCATGGGTGGTTCTGAGAAAAGAGCTATAATCTTGGTGATACTGAATGTTCAGATGATAAAACATAGCATGGTGCCTATAACAGATACATTCCTTGAAAATATAAATCACTTTTGAGGGGTGGAGATGATGAAGAGAGTAAATTGAGTCATATTATAAATATAAGGGCCGATTTTTAAAAGTATGGCTATGGTGGATTCTTTTATGAAGCTGAGAGAATTGTTGTAAAGGGAATAATTACTTCTAATTTATCTGTTTCATAAGTTTGGAGCAATGTGACTTGTGCTTTTTCCAAGTGAGGGGCAGCTGTATTTTTCTCTATCAGGGTAACAGTGTTATTGTTACCTGTGATCAAACTCTGCAATGAAAGCTGTGTTCCATCCTGGCTGCCTCATTATCATAAAACCATTGTAAATCCAATGAAGAATATTTTCAATAAGGCATATTTTCTATTACTAAATGTTGTTCTTTTTTTTCTTAAAAAAAAAAAAAAAGAAATTTTTGCTATAGGGCACGTGTGCTTGCCAGAGAGAGAGAGAGAGGAAGAGAGAGAGAGACAGAAAGTGAGAATCATCCCCCCCTCCCCCCTGGGAAGGATGGCCATGCTTCAATCCCTTCTCCTCTATTATCCTATTGAGATTTTGAGCACACATACACATGCACCCCACATAGTTTTAAGCTCAAACCACAGTCAACTGCATGGGAATCCAGCAGTGTAACTATTACACCATCTGCTGGTTCCACAACATTGCCTTTTTTTTTTTTTTTTAAGAATTATTTTATTTGGGCCCAGAA